TCCCCCCGATTTCAATCATCAGTTGATCACCAAGACATAATTTGGCTGTTTTCCCAACCCAAACTTGTACTTGGCTTCTTGAGCTAGCATGCTGGGGCTGATTAGTAAATGATGTAATCTTGTTGACACATCCGTAATATGCATAAAGCATTCTTTGGGACTATTGGGGTAATTCCCCCCGATTTCAATCATCAGTTGATCAACAAGACATAATTTGGCTGTTTTTCACCAACCCAACTTTGTACTTGGCTTCTTTGAGCTAGGCATGCTGGGGCTGAATTAGTAATGATGTAATCCTTGTTGACACATCCGTAATATGCATAAGCATGCTTTGGGTCTATTGGAGGTAATTGTTACGATCCAATCCGTGACAAATTATCATGAAGGAGAGCTTTCATATAATTGAATGAACACACTAGGCATTTTCCCAGATGAAGTCGTTTGTTCTCTGAATTCCGAGCCATCATGGAGTTGAATTTTACCATGGAAATGTGTCATGCCCTTTAGGACCTTACACCATGAAAAAAATTCAAAGACAAGGCTGTGATCTTATTATACCAGCTATTCAAACAGCACATAACTAGATGGATTGGATGCTGAAAGATTAACGTATCCAGACAGTCTAACAAACTATAAAAAATTTAAAAAAAACTATCCCATCATAGCAGAAAGACAAGATAGTAAAAATCAACAAGATAATGTCTTCTTGAACAAATAAATAAAGGATTAATATTAAAAATGAACTAATAACGACATTTGCAAAGCACATGTTCTTCAATGTGTGTTGTTTCCAGCATAAGCAAAATTAAGTCAGTAGACTCATGAACACATCTCTATCAAATATCTCAAGTATAAGTTTCAAAATTAAAAGGTATAGCCATTTGTATTTGCAAGAGAATATCCAATGCTCCAAACGCAAATGTCACGAAAACAAGACTATAAGAGATGGTAAATGCATGTGCAACCAACATATCTAAAACTACACGAGATTTCTATTATAGAAAGCAACCAAAATGGGGTTAAGAACATTGATCAATCTATAACACTCAAACTACATGAGATTTAATTAAATTTCTATCTATCTTTATATCCATATCCTTAACTAATAGTGAACTAAAAATATTAAGGTTGAATTTGACCCTCCAAGAAGTACAATTCCATTATTAGAGAAAGGATTTAATATAGGTAGTACTATTTATTCAAAATATAATTTAATTATTAAACATATTTTACCTACAGATCTCCAGTTCTCCTTTTGATCATCAACTCCAGCAAACTGAAAAGTTGGAAGTAGATGGACATGGGTGATGCCGGCACTTGATAATTTCTTTAGATGAAGTACACCAGCTGAATCCTTCAAACATATATTTATAGTTATTCCATTTGTCAACAGCATTTAACAGTACAGTAATCTTTTCAATCTTGAATTAGGGATTGCAAATTTCTAATTGAATATATTATTAGGTTCTAACCTAGCAAGCACCACATGCCAGAGCATATTTTTGAGACCACAAATTGCACGTAAAATTTTTTTCAACCAATGCTCAGTTTCCTATCATTAGTACTGTTAAATAGGAAGATAATAGGCCACAAAAATGTAACAAAGAGATTGCAAAACAACAAAGTTAACAATCCTATTCTAAAACAACTTTAAAATTAGAAAGAATTAGAAGATGAAAGCTACCAGCAATGTGAAGGCCAAATAACCACCACGAAGGTCAGGTTGCACAGAGGAGTCGTTGGCACTATATGGCAACAAGCAAAAAGTTACCAAACTTTAGCCACAAATTACATAAAACTCAGACGACTGACAATAAATGTTCTGAAAGTTGAGTGCAATAATTAGTTATTCTTAAGGTGAGATAGATTATATCATCAGTTACTTTAGCCACCAATAGAAGTCCAAACTTTAGCCTATAGATATCACTGAAATACTAAAAGCAAAGGCTCAAGATAACTGAAAATTAATACTCAATTGAGAAATGACAAATATTGATAAATAAACAGAAAAGCAAAGAAAAAGAGAGCAGTATGCGTATTCAGAAGCCAAGACATTGTGTAGTCAGAGAGCAATATGACAACACGGCTACCCTCTGTCTTCTTCATTTTTAATTCTCTCTCATTGAGTCCTTATGTTACCTTTCTCTTCTTTCTACAAAGTCAAACCATAAATCTATCAACATCCATCTTCGTGTGCAATGCCCAAAGATAGAAGTTTATTAGAATTCATGTTCAAAAGAAGAATTATAATTACAATCCCGAATAAATTTGGCACATCTTATGAGAAAAGGACAAGAGAAGATAAAACACTCCAACTTTAATCGTACATGCACACATGTTTTTCGATCTTTTTCCAAATAAAATCTTCAAAAGCCCACATCAAATCTTTATTGTCTCTGATTGTCATGAAAGATGGCCTATGAGTAAAATCAAATAGTGCATATGACACTTCTCACCTGAAATCTCTTACATGCATTTCATAAATGCTTATATCTGAGAAAGAATGCAGAACAGGTTTCTTGTTTGCCAGATCATTCCATCCATCAGGTTTTAACTCATCAGAATCAAGATTAATTAAAAATGTCCTCCTGCCATCTGATGAAAGTCTGCTAAATAGAAATCAACAAAGCAAGTGGGAAATGTAATTTTTTATATAATTGCAAACAACAGAAATAAGCACCAGTGAATGGTAATAGTCAATAATCCTTAAATCTGGATTGAGTTTACAAAAAAAATGAGAGGTTACCAACAGACTTGATTGACATACCCTCTAGCATATGGATCGTTGGCATAGCATTTTTCAACTCGCAAGGTACTAGGGTGGTAAACATTTACTTCGTAGACATAGTAACAGCCTTCCCAACTCTTGGGTCCTTTAGTTTTCCAAACACCATTATCCTCCTCCAACTGTACAATTTCAATAGGGTCCTCTCCCGTTGGGCCCCTGTAGATGTAAGCATGTATCGCCTGTTTTAACATGAAAAAATATTGAGGGGAGTTGCAGCTAAGGTTGTAAAAGCATTATTTTTTTTGCCCCCCCCCCCCCCCCCCGGGGGGGATTGAAACATAACATACCTGAGCGGTAGGAGCCCATAGGTAAAGTGAAACAGCATCTCTTGAGAAAAATGCACCAAGGGGGCCATTATATGAAAAAACTTCATCTATAACACCAGGTAACTGCAAACCAGTACAATTCCTGCACTTCTGATCAGCTGCGAGAAAAGGAAATAGACGCGAGTAGCATGCCAATATAATCAATAAACAATAAAAAGGAACAGAATGCAAAAAGATTCTACAAATTATAAGTCACTGCAACATTTGTGATAAATGAACTATAATATAAAAACTCTGTCAAACAAAGATAAAATTATCAATTTCACCCTGCAATTCACCATCATTATAGAAACCAAATTGTGAGTAAAATATTATGTTGAAATATAGTACTATAATTATTGAAATGATTCCTCATTGCTTATAGGATAATGAAGGCTTCATGTGAAACTATTGTCTGAGAGAAATCTGCTTCTGGAAGCTACGAAAACATAAAGGACTTACAGTCATAGATAACAACTGCTAACTGACATTTGAGAAGATGCTTAACGTCCAAAGAAGTTGGCAATTTAAAAGCTTTATAATGTTGAATATGCGGAAATTTTTCCACCACCTGACAATACACACGTCTTTGAGGTAATTCCGTAATCAAACCATCATTATAATCCCTTTTCCATTGTAGATGAGAGCCACAAAATTCTCACACACAATGAAATCACAAAGGCACCCCTTTACAGGGCCTGATCTTTCAATAAATTTTAAAGGCTTTATGGGTAAAAGCAATTTACATATGTAGGAAGGCCGGCTCTATCTTCTTCAAGCTTAATTTTCACATCTTCACCTGTTTAACACTGGAAAGGGTCAATGTCCACGAGGAATCACTTGTACATAGGAAAACATGAGTATTCTTCAACACGCTGCACTACTGTAGTAGGTTAAACGTTTTGTTAGAGTTTGGACCTTGAATTTCATTATTTGCCAAGGACAAAGAGGCATCTCTACTAGCAAGTAGATAGCAAAACCCATCCCCAATATCCTCATTCCACGCAATCAAAGATCTACTGACCCAATGTGCTCTGGAGTACAACAAATTATCCTCCATCTGAGCCACCAATTCAAGATAATTGTTAGTTGTCTCAAGAAACAGGCTCAACAAAGAAGATTAAGCGAACACACAGACATATGCAAGCGAAACTGCATTACATGCAGATTATAAAACCATATGAGCAATTCCTTTACATCCAAAAAAGTAGCAAATTAAGAGTAACACACTGCAATAATGTTCAGAGAATGGGAAATAACAAGTATAAGGACATACAAACAGGAACATTGCGCAATGGTTTAAGAAGAAACTGAAGCAAAATCTTGTACCATCATCATATGAATTAATCTGCTCAAAACCATAATAGTTGTTCAAGCATATGATATTTCATTTGTGTTTCTCAAGATTCCCAATGCATAGTCGCAAAGAGAATGCACTTATCAGTCTCGGTCCAGCTTCATAATGTTGAGCTGTCCTTGACTGCTCGTTCTATATTGGACAAGATATTCCAGATTCTGAAGAAATCCTTTTTTTCAGGGAAAAAAATTGCCACAGGCATTCTCAGCATTTCATTTAATTTTATATATATCACTTCAGAAGCACATGCATAGTTATGGATTGCTAATTTATCATATAGAGAAGGCATAAAACCAAAACGGATTGTAATGTATCATTAACATTTCAATTTAAAGTAATATCTATTCAGCAGCTATAAAGACCGCTTCTTTAGCATCCAATAGACCAGCGGTTGTACGGATGATCTTTATGAAGGAACTAGAGCACTTTCGGAATACTAAAAATAGCAAGAAACAGCAACAGTAAAATCGCAAACGGAGAGAAACCTGAGAAGTTGAACTAGAAGGAGAAGAAGGAGAAAGAGAGCAACAAATGGATTGGGAAAGATGGGGAGAAAGGCGACGACGTCGAAAGCGCAGTGAAGGATGCACAATTGAGGTGATCGAGAGATGAGCGATGGAAGATGTGGGAAGCAGAGTCGTGGGAGATAGAGGAAGCGGAAGGGAACAAGATACTAAACGAAGCATTTTCCAGTGTATAGCTCGGACTGTGTGCTGGGATAAGAGGCAGCTTGTTCTTCTCTACGCATTCAGCGTCTTGCTTACACTAGGAATCAGAAACAGTGATGTGTTTACGAAATCTCTTGAAAGTGTGAGATTTACTCATTTACATTTGCTTTTATTCATAAAAAATCTGCATCATACGTTCATTGGTCGAATTTGGAGTCTCACAGAGACACAAAGAGAGAAGATATGAACACGTTATAAAAAATTTATATTCATAATAAATACAAGGGAGAGACATTTTTGGAAAAAAAATATTAGTAACGATTCAAAAAAAGTTATTTTATAGAGTTTTTCTTTCAGGGGATTTCCAACAAATGATATAAAAGAAGGACAGGAGAATCACGATGGAGACAGCAAGAGCGCGCCATTACCTTCATCTTACGAGCTCCCCCCGGCGCCCGCAATCACTTGAGCATCATCAATTTCGATCAACCCACATTGTTTGGTGCAAATAAGCGCAGCTCAGCTCCGCTGATCCTGCAAGTTCAACAAGGATATCACTCAGACTATATCAAAAGAATTGACTAACAGTTCCTATGGCGTGAGTCTCTTACTAATAGGTTAGATTGTACCTCGAGGTAGTTGTAGAATTCCCCGTTACGAGGACTGAAAAAGAAAGATTTTGGAATCTGAATCCATTCCATCGAGCTTATAAGCCATGCAACAAGATCCAAACCAGTTACACTTGATAGCTTTTTATCAATAACTTGTGGATTTAACATGAAATTATATAAAGGAATTAAAGGAACTTATATGGAGAAAGAAAGGTAAATTCACTCACAAAAAAGCAGCGCTTAAAAAACTAATAAAAAGCCAAATTATGCTATTAAAGCTAGGTTTTGTTTAAGATAACAAGCAGCAGTGCCGCCCTCAGCAAAATAGTTCAGATGCAATTCAGTAACAAAACAAAATTATGCGATTATCAAGCTTATCAGCCTCATGACATTGATTTTAAGCAGCAATAGGAAAGAAAATTAATATATAAAGTCCATGAAGAAATTATACCTACTTCCCAATTCCAGCTCCACAAAGATTTAACTGTGAAGAAAAATGAGAAGGGGAAAAAAAAAAGTCGAAAGGAGAATATTTAGGGAAAACATGGCAAGGAAATCATTAAAAGAGAGAGCATGGAAGATTACTGAGATAAATTTCCCAGTGAATCTTGTCGAATAAAGACAACATAAAGAACAAGAACATCTAGATGCTCACTAAAATCCTGAATTTATGTCTTGATTGGGTTTATGAATGTCATGCATTGATATATGCTGTTAAACACCTATTTTAGTAGCTTGGAAAGTGTGGACAATCCTTGACTTAAGGGTGAGGGCTTCATTATAATTGCACGTAAGATAGTTGGCAAGTCTTCTGCTTGTCATCCTAAGAGGCTAAAATCATCCTTTGAACTATTCAACTTATTTGCAGTGTAAAATATGAAATCATCCATAAATAATTTGATTGCAACAATTAGCAAAGCAATACACATTTATTGCACTTTAGTGCCTTGTCTGTAGATAGGTCTCCTGAATAAAAATTTGCATTCATCTATACATACAAGCCTGTTTTAACCCTCGTCGCGAAATGTCAAAAGCTACATGCCATTGTGCTCTTCAAAATGTGACCCGTAAGATCAAATCTAAACCCATCAATCTGAAAAAGGGGGGGGGGGGAAAAACAGTAACATGACTCGTATGAAACTCTAGTAAAAATATAAGAATCTTTCCATGGCAGAAACTAAAGGAAAACACTAAAGGGCTGGTAAATATAACAGCATTGTATTAACAAAAACGTAAAAAGGTACATCTAGATAGACGAGAGGAAGCAGCTCCTCAATCATAAGTCTAGGAGGTAGCGTACGAATTTGTTTGTATCAACATGATATAAACAAACTAACTTGTAATTGACTGCCAAGTGTATAAGATCATCAATGGTCAAACGATCAAGATTGTTCCACTTTACTGTCTAAGATGGAACGTTAACGGGTTTGTTGAGCATAGTACTTGCATGAACAATACTAAAACAAACAAATGTTTCACAAAAAGAAACTAAGCTTAACATAACAGCTATGCTATAGAATATTTAATCAATTACAGGCGGACCAAGCAAAACTTGATAATTCATAACCTCGTCGAGAATGTTCACAGAGGGCCCCACTTCCTTGCAGATGATTGCACAACACGAAGGCCAATGTGGTTAAGTGCCTGTAAAGAATATAACTATCAAGACACCAAAAATGTCATTTTAAAAGACAATTGACACGTGCCAAACTGAAGTGTTGCTACTACAAAATGGAAAAGGGTATGATTATGATTCAGATCTATGACTGACATCAGATTAAGAAACATCAAAGTCATACCTGAACCATCTTGCGGAACTCAACTATACGGAATGGACCATTTGAATTACCACCAGATTGTACCTTTCCAAGATAGTGTGTACACAATGTTAAGAAATAAGATTAGCATAAATTAAAGTTGGAATTGTCATCCAATGTATCAATTAGAAGATTACCCCCAGTTGTATCCATCATATATAGTCTTGAATAGCTGTAATAAAAGTTCGTTGCTAATCTGAATCTGGTGGTATAACTTCTAGTATTGGAAAATCTGCCAAAACACTTATGCAGCGTTAAAGAAATTCAAACATTCAGTGTTCTGATTCTTACTCAAGCCATACAAAATTAAATGGATTGGAGGCTGAAAGAACAACTATCTATATAAACTAACTCAGAAATTTAAAATATGATAATCTTATCACAACAAAAATAAGATAAATCCAAACAAAGTTGCCTTATCGAATGAAATAAATACAGGACTGGTGTTCAATAAACCTACGAAATGGCTCACAATGTAATGATGTGCTCTGTTTTCAATGCTCCCTCTCTACTTATATTGCTATTATCGTGGCACTGTTGATATTCTTCCCTAAGAACAAGTATTGCTTGGGCAATCGTGCCATGTCCCAAAATTGTTTCTGCAATGTTCTTAGCCTTATTTACAAGACATTTTTTTTTTAACAACGATTACTTTTCCTTGCCAAAAAGACCAAAAGGATTTGTCTCAGACAGACTTATCCTTGTTGATCAGCATTAAGCCACTAATCCCATCTCCTAGGTCTTAGTTTCTAATTTTCTGGTTACCCTTATATTTTATAGAAACTTCCTTCATGTGGCCAACTACTCGGCTTGTTTGAACTAGGCAGGGTGGGGATGAATTATTACTAATGCAAACACATCCGAAATCTGCATAAAGCATGCTCTGGGACCATTGAATGTAATTGTTACCATCCAATGTGTGCCAAATTATCATGAATGGAGAGTTTTCATAAATTGAATGAACACACAAGTTACTTATCCTGATGAAGTCACTTGTTTTCTGAATTCTGAGCCATCTGGGAGCCAAATTTTACCATGACAATGTGTTATGCCCTTTAGGACCTTACACCAAGGAAAAAATTCAGAGACAAGGCTCTGATCTTATCATACCAAATATTAACCACGTATAAATAGATGGATCGGAGGCAGACAGATTAACCTATCCAAACAGTCTAAGAAACTAACAAAAATTTAAATTAAAACTATCCATATACCATCGTAGCAGAAAGACAAGACAGTAAAAATCAAACAAGATAATGTCTTCTTGGACAAATAATTTCATTTAGGCTCTCAATGTAAAGCAGATCAAAAGATCTGCCTGTGATCAGTTTTAAACAAGAAATCCTAACAATATCTAGAATCATTCTCAACTGGGCAGCCATGCAGACGACCCCACAAATGTTGAATTAGGGACTGTAAATTTCTAAGTGAATATATTATTAGGTTCTAACCTCGCAAGCAACACATACCAAAGCATATTTTTGAGACTGCAACTTGCTTGTAAATTCTCTTTCAACCAATCTCCAGTTTCCCATCACTAGTACTGTTAAATCAAATAGGGAGATAATAGGCCACGAAAAAGTACAAAAGATAGCAAAACAGCGAAGTTATTAAAAAAAAAAATTACATTCTAAAATAACTTTAAAACTAGAAAGATTTAGAAGATGAAAGCTACCTGCAATTTGAATGCCAAATAACCACCGCGAAGTTCAGGTTGCACAGAGAAGTCACCGGCACTATATGGCAACAAGCAAAAGGTACCCGAACTTTACAAGGAGAAAGGAGAATTGCATGAAACTCAGAAGGCTGACAATAAATGTTCGAAAAGTTGAGGGCATAATAACTAATTATTCTTAAAGTGAGATAGGTGATATCATCAGTTACTTTAGCCACGAATATAGGTCCAAACTCTAGCCTATATTTATCAGTAAAATAATAACGGCGAAGGCTCAAGATAACATAAAATTAAAACTCAATGGAGAAATGACGAATATTGATAAATAAATAGAAAACCGAAGGAAAAGAGAGCAGTAAGCATAATTCAGAAGCCTAAATATTTTGCAAATGACTGTACACAACACGAAGGCCAATATGGTTAATTGCCTGCGAAGTATAACCATCAAGAGATATAAATAATCATTTTAAAGACGGCTGACGCTTGCCAAACTGAAGTGTCAGTAGTCAGTACCACAAAAAGGAAAATGCGATGATTAAAACTTAGATCCACGACTGACATCAGATAAAGAAACATCAAAGCCATACCTGAAAGGCTGAAACATCATACAGAACTCAACTATACGGTCTGGGCTCTGAATTTGACGAGAAATAAAATCATACGAACTCTACTTACCAAAGGTGAAAACGAAACTAGAAAATCGCAACTCGCAATCGCACGGAGAAGGGAATCAGAAAGAGGAGGCTTGGAAAATAAATTAAATTGAAAGTACCGCGGGAGTGTATATATAAGCAAGTGGCTCTGGCGGGAGCGGGGACGTGAGTTTTCCCGCTCCAGAATCCGACCGTTGGTGATTGATAATCCTCCCGTTATTGATTGACGGAGGCCAGTTAATGAATTAACTAATTTGGAAATTAACATAAATGTAATTAGGGATACTGTTCGCTGGTTATATATTTTATTTTATTGAAATTAATTAACACTGAATATAAAAATATATTAAATAATATATCACTTACTACTATTATAAATCACAGACATTAATAATGAATTGCTTAGTAATTAATAATGTAATAAGCATTATTGGAATCAATTCTTAAACCACCTTTCCTACGTTTTTTTTTTATATATAAAAGTAGATAGATAGAAAGATTAATTACTTTTGACAAAAAAAATTAAAGGACCTGACTCTTTAGTATATTATTTAATATTTAGTATGAAGCACCATAAAAATTACTATAATTCATTATAATTAGATTAAAAGACAATAAAAAGAGTCAAGATTGATTAATATGCACCAGCTGTTGATTGCAAATTATATATCCGTTACTGATTAAGTATTTTGTTTGGTGGAAATTAACATTAATGTAGTAGAGATTCTGATTGGCAAATTGTGTGTCTGTTTGATTGGAATTAATGTTAATGTAATACTCCCTCCGTTCCTTATTATAAGAGACATTTGATGCTTATGACATATTCTCATATATTATAAGAGACACTTAAAAGTTGTCTCTATTTTTTTGTATTGATTTTCTATTTTACCCCTATTTATTTTGTCTCCAATTCATACTCTTTCTCCTTCCCACTTCTCTTTCTTTTAATAATTTAATTGTTCTTTCTCATACTCTCTTTCCTTATTAATAGGGGCATTGTTGGAAAAAACATTATACTTTTTACACATTAATTGTTCTCAACTAATTTTAACTATTTTTTTTATCAATGTAATTTGGTTATTTGTCTCTTATAATAAGAAACGGAGGGAGTAGTGAATAGTGATAGTGATTAGTTGATATATATGATGGGAGTGCTCATCACTTTGATAAGCACTTTAAACTCATTAGATCCTAATCGTCTATATATTTCAATTGAATAGTCTAGATTTGATTTTTTTTCATTTTTATTTATTTAAAATAATTATTTTAATATGTATAAAATCTAAAATAGAGATAATCTCTTAACTATTATTTTTTCAAAAAAATAATTTTTTATTTAAAAATAATTAATTAAATATTTTAAATTTGAATTATTCAAATAAGATATAGATATTTAGATCTGATGAGTTTAAGGTGCTCATCAAGATGTAAGCACTGAAACTAGTTCTATATTTGTGTACTATATTCGTTTTGATTAGAACTAGCATTAATGTAATGATGTATTACTCCTCCGGTCCTTAATATAGGACTTGATTGTCAAGTTAATTTTAGTCGTAAATATAAGACCTATTTTTCATATTTATCAATTTTTTTCAAATTACCCATATGAATACTCCCTCAACCATAATTAAATATAAGAGGGAGAGAGGATATTAAGAAAGATTATTATAATGTTTTAGAAAAAAAAACATGTCATATTTCTTATAATTAACTAACTTTCCTAACTTTCTTAATCTAATCAAATTAGTTAAATAGGTCGTATATTAAGGACCGGAAGAGTACTTGTTAATTAACAAAGTATCGGAACCAATTATTAAAAGCAGCTCTTCCAACATAATTTCTTTCCAAAAAAAATAAATTAAATGTCCAATATACTATTTCTCTAGTCATATTTATAAGTTACCCTGACATTAAGAAAAATTTTAAATTTCATTAACTCTAACTAAAATTTAATAATTTTTCAACTTCATTATTATTTAATATATATTTTTTTAAAAATTGCAGTCTAAAACAATAATAAATAAAAGATAAAATTATATATTTATATTAAAAAAATTAACAATGTGGCTCATAAATAAATAGGGCAAAACAAATAGATAATTTTTTGCCAACCTGCCAACACAAAAAAAAAAAGGGAAAAATAATCCCTATGTGACATATACGTATGGAAATAACACTCTAAACAGTTAGGAGCAGAATAGACTCACTAGAATCTAAAGCATGAAGTGGGGAAGCAGTTTACTAAAAAACTCCAATGGCCCACACTCTTTGGCTACATCTGTTGGGACATTTGGACCACAAGATGTAATCAGCTCTTTGGGATGACGGATTTAGTGAGGATCAGAATGTAGCTTGTATGGATAATGATATATTAAAGATTGCATCATTTTTCAACAATATGAGCATGAAATCCGTGAATCCCTCACAACCATTATGAGATTATATCACTTTGGAGGTAGATGGATAAGTTATGCACGATGGAAGAAGCGGATGCGGTGGAGCGATTCGAGATAAAAAAGAACAATGGATCACAGGGTTCAGCTGTAAACCCACTTCAATTCCTCCTGTCGTTGCTGAAATTTTTGCTATTCTTTATGGCCTTAACATATGTTGGGCTAAGGGACATAGATCGATTATGCTATATTGTCATTGTATTGAGGCGATCAATTTGGTTGTAAGAGGATGTGATGCTAATCATCCTTTCAGAGATATTACTGAGGAAACTAGGTTAGCCTTACATAGGAATTGGTAGGTTATTGTAAGAGACTCCTCTAAGAATAACTTGTTTTTTGTGGTTGATTAAAACTTTTGTATTCTGATCAACCTCTACTTTTTAGACAAGAGGGGTGGTTTTGATGAGGAAAGATAATTTTCTTGGTGAATTTATGATTCAGTCTTTATTTTCAAAAAAAATGACGCTCTAAACAATAATAGTAACAGTTGTTGCTTCAATCCCTTTTCGTTTTTGTTTGGCAGACAAACAGGGCCAAAGCCCAAACAAGAAAAACTAAAACAGAATGCCGCGAGAAGCTACAGATCCCTCGCCTCCATCTCATTTTATGCTGCTGCACTCCATTCTATCTGCCAGCAATACACTGTATTCATGAGCCATTTTCAATATACTTTATTAAAATAAAAAATATTAAATCTTATTAACTTTATTTTAAAATTTTAATTTTATTTATAGTTAATATATATTCATTCTAAGAAAATAATAAATATAGAACAAAAAATTAGATATAAAATCGTACATTCCTTAAATAATTTGATAAGATGACTTATGCTAAAAAAAGAAAAAAATAAAAACAAAGTAGTCCGTACATGGGTATTTAGTATAAGCAACTGCATAAATTACTTTAATTAGGTTAAAAAACAATAACGAGCCTTTTCATCAAATTTTTTTTAAAAAAAACATATATACTATATTATTTTTAAATATGAAGTTATAACAATTAAATAATAATAGACATCAATAAACTGTTAGTTGAGATAATAAGCGGTCTCACCTTCATAAAAAAAAAAAAAGAAATTTAAGATATCAAAACTTATGATTTGAAACTTAAAGGGTCAAAACCAAATAAAAACAAACTTAAAGGACCAAAGATTATATTAACCTTACAACAATACGAACTTCGTTACCTTACATCACCATCTATTTCTCAAAGCACAAATTGGGTCGCAATCTAAAAAAGCTTACTCAATTCCCATCCATATTTTAACAGGAACTTACCTCACATTACCCCATTCTCCCTTATGTATATATACACACACACACTTACATATTTGGCGTAAACATGCATAATGGTAATAATGGAGGGAGAAGCTAAACTACATTGTTAGTATCAGATTCGGTGTTTATTTTGAAGGCAGGAGGAATAAGAAGTAAGAGAACAAGAAGAAGAAGAAGAAGGGATGGGGTGGAATATCAATGGAGTGAAGCAGAGGAGGAGGATGCTGCCACTGAGGTAGGGGTCCTCCAGCCATAAGCAGAGTCTGAAGAAGAGGCCCAGCTGCTATCACTGCCTTGAGAAGCTTCCCTTTCTCTGGCAATGCCTTCTTCCTCTTCTTCTTCTTCTTCTCATCATCATCTTCACACTCATAAAAACCGGATGATATTATTGATGATGATAATGAAGCCTCTGTATCTGGTGATGATGATGATGATAAACACTTCAGCTTCTTTAAGCCTCCATCTTCATTATGGGTCTGCAGATGAAGAGTTTGTTGCTGGATCTGAAGATTTTCTGCTCTAGCTTCCGGCATTGTGCTAAGGATTCATCTCTCTCTTTAATGGCTTTGCTTAGAGCATCATTCACTTCCATCAACTCACATTCTCTTCTTGTAATCTCCTCTTTTGCAGACACAATCGCTTCCTCTAGCTCCAAGGTTGTCTGCAAAATAGCGTGCTTCAGCTCCTCTAATCCCTGCAAGATCAGCTCAACAAATTAACACATCACAATGCTGAGGACAAACCAAAAACTGAATTAACTAACTAACTAACTAACAACATGTATATACCTCTTGGTGGTGGTAGAATTCCCAGTTAAGAGGGCTGCATAAGCATTCATCTTCCATTTCTCTGCAGGGTGTATGCTAAGGGATGGAAATTGAAGTTTGTACTAGTGTCTTGTAAGGGCACGCTCCCCTTTTAACTTTGATTCATGGGGACAGGAAGTTGGAAAAAAAGGGTCACAAAATTCCAAAGCTCTTAATAAAGCACAAAGGACAAAGGATTCGTGTACCAAAAAGAGGAGGGGGGAATTCGGTGGGGAAAAATGGGAAATGTAAGATGATTTATCAAGTAGGCAAACTTGGACCTTATTGAATCATCATTATTATCTTCTTCTTCCTGGCTTTTTAGGTAGTGGGTGGCAGATAGCACGTGCGTGTGAAACTCAAAGTAACATTTTGGTCATCCCAATACAATAATAACAGTAACAAACCTGTTTTTACTAGGCACAGACTTTATACTTAGCTACATAAATCGCACAATACCATTATGCTTGATTCAAGAACATGCTTTTACTACTTTCAAAATAAACCTAGCTGGTATGAGGAAAGAGAATAGTATAAAAACTTACTTCCTCTTCCACTTTTGTTTTTATTTTCAATTCACTTTCCACTTTTATTTTCATCAAAAACTCTTCCATCATACCAAAGGAGGATAAATGAGTTCTTGGAAGCAAATGTTGAATGGGAAGAGTGAAAAATGGCCAAGGGGTTATAGCGATTGATGAGAAGAAGACGAAGGAAAGGTAGGTAGGAAGTGTGGCATGAGGATGATTAAGCTTCAAGATGTCGGGTCTATTTTATCAAGCTGTGTGTACGTGCTTGCGATTATCTTTTTGACCAATAAAGCTATGTGGAAACTCGTTCTATCTTGGTTTCCTTTCTTCCTTTGTTCTTTCTTTCTTTCTTTCATCGTCCATTTCCCAGTCTGAACTCAAAAGGTTATACATAAACGATTCACATTATTGTATTTTATAGCAGTAAAGTTATGTTAAAAGTATTGAAATGTGGCTTTTTCTTCGATGGCTTTGTGAATGATTCGAGTTTGGGTCAAGTAAGCAAACTACAGCCGATCCGGTGCTTATAAATATAGCCTGAAATTTTATTTTAAAAAAATTTGGCTGTCCAGCCTTTTTCTCTTTTTGGCCTGAAATTAGTTATCTAGCTTGGATATGTTAATTTTTTATCCCTATATTTTTTTTTTCCTGTGAGCGAGTGTGATGAGTATAAGCTCAAAAGGAGAACTCAATCCCAAAAGACTAATCTATTAGGAGGAAAACTCCTTAAACTTATAAACCCTATAATACTTGTGAGATTTTCCAATATGAGACTCATAACAGAGCACCCATCTCGAGAGCCGACGCCCCAACTGCTCCACTCTATAGCACTTCACTTAGTCTTCTTACTAGTCGGAACTTTTCGCAGGTAATCCTTTTCGGTTGGTCGACTCTCAATGAAAGTACCAATATGATAAGCATAAGTCTAAGAGAAGAGCTCAATCCCAAAAGACTAACTTATTAAAAGGCAGAACCCCTTGAACTTATAAACCCCACAACACTTGTGAGATTCCACAATATAAGACTCATAACAGCGAGTGGTATTAGAGACTGGACATATTAATTAATAAGTCACAATTGTATGCAAAAATGAATTGCGAATGAAATGAAAACCCAGAAACATTGTGAAAAGAAACTATACATGACTACGTATACGAGTTAAGCGGGGTTTGGTTGGAAGATGGAAAAAATGACTAAAAATTAAAGGGGGTGAAAATGACTAAAACTTGTGAATTTTTATTTTATTTTTGAGCTCAGGGTATCCAGTTCTGGTCATAATCATAAATCAGATCTTTGAAAAGAAAGGGGAAAAGCAGAGAAAAATAGAAATTAATTCTAAAAGACAGGAGAATATTTGAATGCTAATGGTTATTTTCCAATATAAGGACCCCACAGCGTCTCAGGTGGGATGATGGTGCTTGAAGGCTGAAGCAGCTGTCCTGCACATCAACAACTAATTTGATCAAACCGAGTGGGATTTTTTTTAGGAAAAAAAACTAAAATACTCTTAAAAATGTTAAAAGAAAAATTAAGGTAGGTAAATTTTAAAATCTTAAATAAGACCCTTTGTACTATTTTATAATTTTAAAATATTATAAAATGACAACACTATCTTTATTTTTAGTAGCTGCTTTTATATAACTATTAACTACTCTAGTTTAACTATTAACTATTTTTATTTTTAAAGTTATGATAACTACTTTTATATAGCTATTGACTACATAATAGTAGTAAATAACTAACAAAAAGTAGTTACCAACAATAGTTAATGTATTTTTTGAATTTTTGAAACAAAAATAGTCATAACAAAACCAGTAGTCAATAGCTAAATAAGAGTAGTCACCAAAAATTTAAAGATAAAGTAGTCAATCGCAATACTAAGTAGTCAATAGCTAAATAAAAATAGTCATTAGAGTTCTAAAAATAAATATAGTCAATAACTATAAAAAAATAGTCAAAATATAAGAAAGAGTAATCACCAGAGTTCTGGTGACTGGTCATTGTTTTAAAAGTCACCCACAGTGATTTATCTTTTAACAATTTTTAAGATATTTTATTGTCTTTTTATCCCTTTTTTTGGCAATAAATTTCAGCACTAAGTATTTAACATCGTTATATTTATTTCTAAAATTAAATTCGAGACTTCTAATTAAATTACCATGATCTCTTACCAATTAAACTAAATGGTTTCATGGCTATATGACATTACATGTGACGGTGTGTTTAGATTTTAATTTAGCAAAAGTCAGTTCGTTAAATATGAGAATGTGTTGAAAATAATCGATTTTTATCTTGCTTTAATAAGTTAAAAATATACTATTTAGCTCAGGGTTTTCTCCTGTTTACTCCCCAAACTAAAATCATTATTTTTAATATGAATTTTAAACAAACTAGCATTGAGCACAGATTTAGATCCTATAAGGTATCTAAAATCTAAATTTGACTTATGAGGCTTGTGTCTTGGATATTCATGTAATTATATATATACACACACACTCCCTCTCCTCTAAGTATGGCTAAAACCTATTTAATTAATTTGATAATATTAAAAAAATTAGATAATTTAGTACAAGAAATATGACATTTTTTTTTAAACATTATAATTATCCTCCTTAATATTTCTCCCTTTCTTTTACTTGATTATGGTTGAAAAAGTATCAATATGAATAATTTTAAAAAAATTAATAAATATAATAAAAAGATTTTATATTTAGAATTAAAATCAACTTAATTATTAAATCTTACAACAATCAAGGGACCACTATACTTGTATGTGTGTTGGACGTTGGTGGTTGATTGGGAAGTTGCCCCCTTTTATACCCACATTAATATCAACATAAAAAAAAAAAATCTGTAATTCAATTTTTTTTTTAAAGGGAAAAAAACTTGGGATCAATATATTTTGATAATTTTGTGTCTAATTTAATTTTTAACTTCCTGAGTCATTGCCACTAATATTTATTTTTGAAAAAGACCACCAAGCATTTTTTTTCCACAGATCATTCTTTCTACTTTATTTTTTTAAAAAGCAAAAGAATAAGTGAGTTAATGTTACTGTAAATATCACTTCAGTGGCAAACTTTTCTCTGTGAAGTAGACAGAAGTGATGTTAATGGGAGCATAGCATGCATGCACGAAAGCTTACAATCATTGGCTGCACATTATGTTTGGACCTCGAAATAGTGAAACACCATATAAAATAAAAAAAATACTCCTCCGGTCCTTAATATATGACCCAATTTTTGAGTTAGCTTTGGTCCTAAATATAAGACCCATTTTTCATATTTATCAATTTTCTTTAAATTACCCCTATGAATACTCTCTCAACTATAATCAAATAGAAGAGGGAGATAGGGTATTAAGAAAGATGATTATGGTGTTTTAGGAAAAATGTGTTACTTTTCTTATAATTAACTAATTTACCTAACTTCCTTAATATAATCAAATTGGTTAAATAGGTCTTACATTAAGAACAAGAGGAGTACTAATTAGTCATAACTATTTATTTATTTATTTCTGAATCCTTTGACAAAAGTTCTGGTGTTTTTGACCCGTTCTTTTGTAAATAATCAGTCGTGCACTGACGCGTTTTGTAGCTGTGGTCCAGAATTCGACATCGTTTAATGTCAAAAAAGCTCATGACATTACCTTCCATCTTCTTTTGTTTTATCATGTGATTACGTGTATCAATCCATGCAACACACTAGCTAATCATAATATGTTTATAATATTCTATTCAAAATATTGTTATTAATTATAAATTTTTTTCACTAAAAAGTGGTTTTACTATATATATAATTAAATATGATAGTTTAGAGAAGCCAGCATATATTTGTTACAAATAATTAAATTAACTAATTTTTTTAATCTTTCTAAATTAATTATCTAACTCACTATTATTGACAAACTTGATAAGTAATAATAATCAGGTACAGTTAGCGGGGGCAATGACGAAAAAAGAAGTTGGAGTTTTGTAAATGTCAAACAAAAAATGTCAAAAAAAATTTGTTGTTATTTGTAAATTCAAAATTGTCAATATAAAATAAAGTTGTATTATCAAATTTAATTTTGAATTTGTAATTTCAGCTTCTTTTTCTGTTATTTTCCCTTCAATTTTCTTTTTTTCTTTATTGGAGTTTGAATCCGGAGCCTTTGTTGGTCAAAAAATGAATTTTTTATGGACATGCCCACGCGTCTTTTTGGGATTCAGCTTCTCTCCTTTACCCTTTTCATCCGCCCTGTCCGCTGCCCCAATACGACGCTGTGAAAAAGAATTAAATGGGAGGGGAAGGAGGCGGGCGGATGAAAAAGAACTAGTTATACTAATAATAAATTAATAAAAACGATTCCTCCTCCCATACATTTTATGCAACCATAAAAATCTCTCTTTCATTGGAAAAATAAAATCGTAAGTGAGTAAAATAATTGTGATAAGTAACATTATTGTTTTTTCAGTAACACTCAATGTTCTAAAATAATTATTTATGCATTTAACACCTTAAAATATCTTTT